TCATCCATTTATTTTTTAAATATTTTTTTTTAACGTAGTTACCTTGCTTGTTTACAGCCTGCTGTTTCACTGTACCTTACCATGGGCTGGCCCTTTTCCGAATGCTGTTGACCATGGCCTTAGGCCCCTCGGTGTGTTGCTGTGTGGTGTGTGGTGTGGTTGTGTGCGTGTGTGTGCGTGTGGTGTGTGAATGGGTGTGGGCTGTTACTGGGCGCGCGATAATTGAAGAGGCATTGTGGTCTCTTCATAGATGGACATCATCGGGGCCTTGCTGGACAGGCAAGCTGGGGAGAAGGGATGCCCCGGCGTCTTCAGGAGCCGGAACTCTTTCGAGGGCTTGCGCCGCAAGGTGTGAGGGTGGGAGCGTGTGTTTGGTGTTCCGTCCCCTGGGCTTATATGGACTGGCTCCTTTCCGGGGCTTTGGCTGAACGGCAAATGGTCAAACCGCTCAAAGGACAAAAACAAAACCTGACCACAGCCAATATGAAGGCAGGAGGGCAGGCCATTTGGGCTGCCGGGCCCCGCTCGGCCCTGGCGTGCCTGGGCTGGTGTTGAAAGCGGGTATGGGCTGCGAGGGGGGCTGGAGGAGCGAGCCGCACATTTGTAAGAGAGAGAGAGCAGAAGGGGAGAGAGCGGAGAGGAGAGAGGTGGCCGAAAAAGACTTAAAAGAGAAGGGGGGAGGGGTTCAGGAAGTTGGCCACGGAAAGCGGGCTTTTTTCTGGGCGGCCGGTCACTTTCAGCCTTAGAGCGGCCTGGGTGGGACGTTTTCAGCGGCCTTCGGGCCAACGGGCAGAGGGCCGCCCTGTATTGCCAATCTACGGGAGGTCCTCTGGCCGGCCTTCCTCTTAATCTTGCCTCTGACAGACGGATCCTTCCCTCGCGGCTTAGTACACACACAAAGACACACACACACACAGCACACGACTACCTCCTAATATCTATAAAAACACATTGCACCTATGGGGGTCTTTTGCTTGTTTTCTGGAGCCCCAAATTAGGACAGGTTGGTGCGAAGGAATACTCAGAGGGTTTTCCAGTGTGTAACATTTAAGAGGGTCTATTGGCAAAAATGGAATATATTCATAGGTATGTTTTCATTAGTGTATAATCACCTGAAAATAAGAATCATTGTGTTTTTCGTTACCTTACAATGAACCTTTTATATCTACAAACGTAGCTGGTTGACTTCCATGGAGTCAGCCATGTTGATCCACCATGTTTCTACAGTAGCCCAGAAGGCACAAACCAAACACCGTCTCAAGATTGTGGTGTTCACATTTTTTAACCCGTTTTGCGGCCACTGTAGTCTCTCCTTCACGCTTTGAAGGGGAGGGTTAAGTTAGATGCCACTAAATCAGTGGTTCCCCACCTGAGGGTCGGGACCCTCACTAGGGGACAAGAGGCCTTCTTGATTTTAGGGGTTTAAGAAATCTTAAAAAATATATACAGTACACCTATATCTCAGCTTATCTCAAATTAAGTTAAATTAAGTAAATTGTAATAAAAAAAAAACACATAAAATTTTATAAAACAGAAATAATCTGCCCACAATTCATCCAAATCATTTGTTTTACACAAACTTCTTGCAGTTGCTGAGTTCACTATCTGGGTTTATTGTACAGTTTTGAATATAATGTGAAATATCCCCAAAAAATGTTCTTTGATCAGGGGTCGTTAGTTTACTAAATCATCAAAAAGGGGTCCCCTAAGGAAAAAGGTTTGAAACCACTGCACTAAACCCTTCACACTGGACTTTTAAAGTACTTGAGTATATATACTTACCAGTTTTAAGAGTTTAAGATATTACAATGACAGGGCCTCATGTGTTGCTGAATCACATTATACAAGAATACAGATAATGGTACAATAGGCTGTTTATGTCCATATCAGAAAGATCTGAACAATTAGTGGAAGAATGTCTTCATGTACAGCAGCATAAAATGTGGTTGGAGGGATTCTCAGGCTAACACATCGAAGGCACATCTCACATGTACGCTGAGTAAGATTGACAGGTTTCTTCTCTGAGCTGAAGTGAACCTCTCGCCCTGAGTGTGTGTGTAATGAGAGACAGGTCTTATGACAAGCACTAATCATCCCAGACTCTTGACCCTGTGGCAGTGAAGCTGACACAAGGGAATACATACCGGCACTGCTAACAACTCACCCAACCTCTGTGTGTGTGTGTGTGTGTGTGTGTGGATGAGCATGTGTCATTTCAGGTAAAAGAGTCATAGTAGGAATGAGTTCACATTCAGTTCATCAAGCCCTGGGGTGAGTTTTCTTCAAAAGGTGAAAATATTATATTAGGAAATGGGTATTAAATCAAGAAAAGTTGACCTACAAAGAAAATTAGATTTATTTCTAAATATTTAAAAAAAGATACATTCCAAAGTTTAAAATCAAGTCAAATCAATTTCTGCTAATTAAAGTAACGTTCTTTTCCTTAAGAAATACGCTTATTTGCTTTTCTTGCTAGGAGTCACCTACATTCTACATATATGAAGCTGCAGCCAGCAGCTGGTTATCTCAGCTTGGAATAAAGACTGGAAACAGGGAAATGGCTAGCCTGGGTCCGTCTCTATTTCTCTGCCAAGACGGGTCAGCAACTGTCCCAGCCAAGAAATAGTCCAGCACACAGTGATTTGGCGTTTGTACACATACTTTGTTTTTTGTATGGATTAAACAAAAACTAATGTTGCCAGTCTTTGCTAAGCTAAGCTAGCTGGTGGCTAGTTCTGTATGTTATGTCTGTATGTTATTTAACATACAGATATGAAAGTGATAATCTCATCTAACTCTCAGAAAAAAAGCTAACTTCCCCAAACTATTCTAAACTAAAACCAAAACTATTTTGCCAAAAAGACACCTCTTAGTGATCACAAAGATGTAACAATAGGGGAGTGGGAGTGTCCATCATGCTGAAAACTGCTCATTAAAAACATTCATGTATCTGGATGTACCCTGCTGCCCCAAGCTCCTTAATGGAAAATGTAACTTAACATGTGATTTACACTTTGTCAGGAAAGTTGAAGTAACACACTGCTGAGTAGCTACACAAACAGAAGAAGGGCAGAAAAACTTCATTTGTCACTATACTTAAACTTATTTTTAAATAATAAAGCTTTATTAAAATTGGAAGCTGCTAATATCATAACTGCACCATAAAAGAGCTTGTGAGTATCAATGAGTGCTTGGGATTTATTATGCTGTGTGCTCTGTGTGTGTGCTTCCTCATATTACTGTCACGGTGACACTCAGCAGGAGTGACAGTGGCTTTCTAGGAGTATCATTCCTGCTGATAAGAGGGACTGTAGCCTCAGAACAAATACGACACACTCCCAGCTACTTACAGTCAGTAAATCTACAAAAGAAGCATCACTACGTTGTGGATGTACTGATCCAGGTATGTTTATTGTTATCCAGAGTGCGCTGACAGACCAGTACAGACATACAGCACAGACGAGTGAGCATTCAATAGAAAACGGAAAAAAATCTGATCTCACTGTGATGTTTGTATGATAAAAATGGTTAATAGGTGGTATATGAACCTGGTCATTTACAGTATCTGTCAGTTAACATGTATTAATCCGCAGTGCAGTGGAGTACAAGAGTGATTCTCTGTATATTGTTATAGAAAGGTGTTAAGATGCGTTCGATATATGCTTCAATAATTCTCAAAAGTATCATCTGATTATACAAGAAGTGATGTAATGTACCGATGGAAATGTTTACGACATAATTCTGCAATTATTGATATAAAATAAGCATCATGAACGGTGTGGCAAGTTAGCAGAACAAACACAATCAAATAAAAAGGATTTGATTGACGAGGCAGTAAGTGATTGACAAGTTGGACATAATCAAGGCTTCCGGACCTGGGTGTACCGTTCACTCAACACAACAACCTTTAAAAAGGTATATTTACAAGACACACATTATTTATTGTTTGATAGAGTTTTCATTGTATTAAATATATTACATAAATCATATTCCTACATGCAGACAATGCAGTGTTGTACAGTGCAGTGTTTCCTCTGAAATTCATAAAAACAACTAGAATCTGTAAAAGGGCTGGTTTCAAATGTGTGGTTCAAGCCTCATCATTCTTTATTCTCTTTTTCTACAGTGAATGAAATACACTCTTTCCACACAAGGAGAAGGCTTATGCTGTGTGTTAAACCGGCCCTTTTTCCAGCTATAATCTATTCAAATCTTAATATAGCTAAATTCTTCACTTAACAACAAAACCTCTAGCTCAAAATATTTTGTTCATTCACCTTGCATAGTGTCCATCTCTGTTACTGTACGTGGGCTGGTTGGCAGTAAAAAGGGGTTGGCAAAACAAAGGTTTGACAGTGTTGTAGGAAATGAGATAACATATCTGTTTCTAGATCAGAGCAACACAACCCCCGCATCAACTAAAAAGCTCAACCTGTCTCACTCACAGCTAATCTCAGTGGGCTCCGTGAGGAATGATATAAGTGTTATAGGTGGCAACAAAGAGTGTATTGCACAAGGGTCTTTAAAAAAGGTGACTTAAGTCTGTCAGTTTCAACAGGAAGCATGCAGTACTTAATGAATGCAGTGAAAACACAAAAATGTCACCTCTCGCTCTCAGTCGTGTCATTTTGGCTTACAGCTACGGTATGAGGAGTGAAAAAGCAACAATGTCATAGTGGATCATCACTCAGTACCAGCGCCTACTGAATAAATTATTGCACCACACATGTTGTTAAGTGTTCCCTGCACCAAAAAGGTTACACAGTAAACCCTCTATGAGATAAAGAAATATGCAAATTTACAAGGAAGGTAATACTGCTTCTCGGCAATTTCCGTACAAAAAACAGTACATGGGGACTGGATGGCCGGACATAAACTGGGAGATGTGCACAGAAATGCATTATCTGTATTTACTGTATATCTATTCATGTATTCAGGCTGAATGGAGTCATTCAGAACAACCAGTTTTCCCATCATGTAACTCTTCGTTTCCGCAGTCCCACAATGCACAGCGGCTATTACGGCCAGTCCACCCGGGCGAAGAAAGGGTGGGATTTGATATCATCAACGCCTCCCACACCTGCCCCCAGTCTCTCCATTGGATTGTACTGGAGCAACTGCACATGAGGACAAGATGGAGATCAAAAGAGACATATTTTTAATCCAACAAGAAAAAAAATTTAATATTTTATATATATAAAATATATATATATATGTGTGTGTGTGTGTATGACATTGTCACTGCAGCATTCTTTGCTAGTGAGCTAAAGTGTATACACACATTTACAGTAGAGAAAGACAAAAGCACTAAAATGACACTTTATGACTACAGTTATTGCATACCAAAGCTACAACATAGCATTAACATACACACAGGTTAAACTGAGTGTAACTGAAACGCAGTCATTGTCTGCAGGTCCTCCTCTCACAGCACAACTACACTGGATTCATGGCAGACTGGTGCCACATTAGGCAGAGACAAATCCATGCAAACCATATTAATATACATTTAAAGATTACCAGTGTTGAGGATTTGCAATTAGCTTTATGATACAAGCATGATGCAAGCTCTGTTATTAAGGGTATGTGCGCTATGTGTAGGATGTTTGCTTATCTGTTATAATCTGTCAGAAAAATAGATAAATTCCCAAACATTTAAAGTAGTTACAGTGAGGTCTGGTTTTGTATCATCTTAGAAGATAGGAGCTCACTGCTGTCTTTGTTGGACTTCCCAGAAATCATCTATCTGAAAATGTTTCCAGTCTTGGGATGTCTTTTACTCGAAGGTGGAAAACACCCTTTAGTTGCGACTGTTGAGCCACTGTAGCAGGTCATGCTAACCCAGTTCTTCTACTGTATTCATTTCAAACAAACCACTATTGTTGCTCTTGGAAATTACTTATTGTGCATCTTTTCCTCTGGGAAACGCCTGCCAAAAACTGTGTATTTTAAAGTCACATATACACCTTTTTATAAACTCTGTCCTGAGTTTAATTACTATTGTATTTACAAACCAGTGAGAGATAGTTGTAACTTTGATTTATAAAAAAAATACAACAGATTATTACTTTAATATCGTCATGGATAATGCAATGAGGGAGTGGTTCCCACCAAACCCCATTTACAAAAAGCAGAGAATTGTATTTGAGAAGAGAGAAATGTTCATGTTTTTTCAGTGTGCACTTTGAAGTGCATGTGACTTTTGCATGAAGTACAGAATTACAAACAAATCTTCTCAATGTGGGGAAATATATTTGAGTGGGCCACTCTGTTAAATTTTGTATATAAAAATCAAAATATCAACATACAAGTTACCAGCAGCACACTAGACTCTCACCTTCTCCAGCAGAGATCTGGCCTCCTCTGAAACAGACTCTGGGATGTTGAGAGCGGTGTGGCGACCAATTCCAGCTGGATGGCACCGCAGCAGAGACTGAACAGAGGGAAGGAGGCGTGGAAAGAATAGATAACTATCAATCAAAACAAAGAAAAACCCGACGGACGGAGAGCTGAAGGGACAGATACACTGACACCCGCACAGCCTAGGTCAATGTGAGAACATCACGACTGGACAAATAGGAGGAGACCAAAGAGCCAAAGCACCTGAAACAACACTGATCACACTAACTACAACAAGGTAGTGATTCTACTACTGTTGCTCTTTCTTGGAAGTTGTGTGTGTGTCACAGAAAGAGTGACATGTTTATACATTACACATCATTTATACAGAGCAACTTTACTGGAAGGGCCAACAGTTAAGCAGCAGTAAATATAAATCATTTTGATTTGTTTTTAGAGTCAAATCTGACCGGTCAAACTGTCAATGAGAAGGAATTGTGAAAATGAAATAAAATAAAAATAATCTCAGAAGTGAGAGAAAGGGTGCAAAAGACCTGTAAGTGCTTTTATAACCACAGCACGTAGCCGTATTGTTAAAATAATTGTCAATAATGACCGTAATCACTGCATGTTGCACATCTTTCAGTGCATGTACACCTACAAATTGAAAATATTAGAACAGAACATGTGCAGTAAGAGAAAGCTGTAAGGATGTTTGTGTTGGGAGGAGGGGGGGCTGTGTGTTTTCTCCATCAGTTAGGTCGGTTCTCTCTCTCTCTCTCTCTCCTGATAACGTGCTGCAGGAGTTCTGGCTGGGTTCCTAGTCGCAGTCAAGACTGCTCCAGGCAAGATCTTATCCTGCAAGGATCAAGAGACACTATGTGCTCCTGTGTGTGTGTGTATCATTGCCAGGTCTGTACCCAGACATAATCATCAAAGGAGACATCTGTGTGACTGACTTTTTTTTCCCAGGTAAGTGGGTGTGTATTGTTCAACATAATAGCACTAACCTAACACCCAGACTAATGCTGGGCCATTGATGGGAACCACTGATAGCTGATATGAAAATATGCCCATTGGCAATCAGTTAGATTTTATTCAAATTTAATAGACAATAAAAAAAATTGAAGGGACGCTCTGCACCTGCACTGGGGGTCATGTGGGTGCTACTGTGTGTGTATTTGTCCTTCAAGAGAGCAGCAAGTTATAATTAGCATGTGTGCATGTATAGCATATCTGTTGTCTTCCAAAACAAAAAGGCTCTTCCCATCCTCCCTAGCCTGTCTTAAAAGATCGTCCCTCAGACAGCCCTGATCCTGGACCAACCGAGCTCCAGCACCTTGAGAGCCGCCCTGGTCTTCACCTTTCACGCCGACCTCGGATCGGTGCGCTCAAAGCCCAGCGCTGCTCCAGGAGCCAGCAAAGAGGCCCAGGGAGAGCTGACCCCCTGGCCCAGCAGATGGAGCTCAGGCTGGGGGAGAAAGTCACACCGACACCCCTGGCACTCCCCGAGAACCAGAATAAGAGACGGCAGCCAAGACGCACCTCACACATATACACACACACACACAGCAAAACAACTAACTCCACCTACTCAAACACATACAGACACACGCGCAGAATCACACACAACCTGGCACGACCATAAAGAGTGTGAGAGAGTTGAAAGCCAAGACACCTACAGACATCCCACAACACCTTAGCAACAAAGATAACATTTTTTGTACTTTTTGACTCACCATGCCTGTCAGGAGCTCAAACAGGATGGCACCCAAACTCCACCAATCGCATGCTGCCGTCTCCTCACTGATACCTCCTACCTCTGAAACGAGAGCAAAACAGAGGGAAAGAGATTGACTTAATCAATAAATGAACAAGCAGAGAAATATCTTATGTGTTGGGCGAAGCATAATCAACTGTGAAATCAAATGTGTAGAATTAATTTTTTTTTTTTTTTTTTTACTGATCTTAAGCCTGGAAGCTAAATGCACAAGACCTATTACATGATTACATCATATAAGGTATCTTGGTTTTAAACCCTTTAACATTAAACACAGTTTCAGACTGACATCTTGGATTACTTAATGTTTCATTGAATTGACACAATCAATTCAAAATGAGCACAAAAACATGGACACAGTCACACACAGACCTTTTATGAGACACAAACAAGTGTGTGTCTCATAAAAGGGTGATTTGCATAATAAAAAAGCAGTTAAATTGAGGAAACCGTCTGCTGCAACTTCACACCATCTGCATGACCTGACCTCAAACACAAACACACACTCACGCAACACACACACACACCAAGAAATGTAAAGCAGGAACAACTGAGAACAAATAGTATAACATTTTTGTTCAGTTTTCTTCACCCGCACACTATTCATTTTTTTAGCTCCTGAAAATAATCTACACCACAGATTATTGATGAATCTGTTTATTATTTTCATTGTTTGGTCTGTGAAATGTCGAGAAATACTGGCAAATTAGTAAATTTCTTAAAGCCCCAAGTAGTTTGTCAAAACAGCAAAGACAAGCAGCAATTTATTTTTAGTTTGAAAGACCATAACACACTTAATTGATCAGAAAATGTATTAATTGTTGCAGTCTTACAACATACACTGACACCAAACTACACACAAGTAAAGTCTACGAAGGCCTCAAGGTGAACATTTCATCCAAAGTCTGTCCACTTTCAATCTAGCTCCACGTTGTGCCAGATCCTGATCCACAACCAGTCTGAGGGCCAGCTTGATGCAGGGCTGTTGGGACTCGCAGTGTGTGTTTAAGTAAGACACAGAAATCAAGAGTGATGCTCATTTGCTAAAGTCAAAAGTGTATTTGTGAGAGAGAGTGTGTGCGTGTGTGTTAGCTCCACTGGGTACCAGATGGTCTCTTGTGCCGCTCAGCTTCCCTCTGCTCTCTCCAGAGGGCCGGGACCCAGGGTCACTGCTGTGTGTGCCCAGAGACCAGGCTCCTCAGCTGGGGAAGCATAAGAGACAAAGACCCCTCATCTCCTGGAGGCTGCCGGGAACTCCAGGGGCCTGTGCGGCTCTCTTGCAGCAGAGGTTAGAGAGGGCTATGATACGACTTGCACGTTTCGTATACACACGCACACACACAGTCAACTGAGCAACCAGTCTTCAGGGCTCCCCAGGACTACTGTTTTGACAGCCAAGGAGAGAAGATCGTCATTGAACGGACTAGTGATACCTGCGTAGTTATGAGCTGGAGGGGAAATACTGGACACACACACCCGCACACGTCTCAGAGCAAGGTCGATGTCATCACAATGGATTAATGTCTAAGGAGCTGCAGGGAGAGTACAGTGGAGCTGGCTACACTTACCGCTCTGTCAGAGCGAGGCAGGGAGAAAGGGAGATAGAGAGAAAGAGGATGGGAAGGGAGAATTAACTGCATCCACAGGCCATGGGTTATTCAAACCCCACTGTTTCACTGTGTGATGTGCAGATTTTTTTTATTTAACAATACCTTCAATAACCAGTTTCTTGAACAACACATGAAAAAACTTGTCACATGAATTCGAAGAAAACAAGCATACTGAGAAGTTCAGATACAACAATACAGTGTGTTCACCTTGTGGCCTCTTCTTCTTCCCTTTCCCCTCAACAATGAAGTTCCCTCCTGCTTTGTATCTTAATCACAATCTCCTCTCTCCTGGGGGCCATAAGGAACTTTTCTCTTCTCCTCTTAGACTGACTTCCCTAAAAACTTAACCGACATTCATTGTTGAAAGAGGAAGTAAAGTGTACGCAGGTAGGAAGTAAGGAGGGATTGGTGTGTGATGTTCCAAGACTGTGTGTGTGTGTGTCTTATGACTTGGGGAGTTCTCAGTTGAAATGATGCCAACTGTTGCTAAAACCAAATAAGTTATATATTTAAAAACAAACCTAAAGCAAACCTATGACTCATCTTTACTATGGGTATAGGGGAGAAATATCAAAATCATAAAGCAGAAGTACTTTCAGGGCATAATTTCTTAATTGACAAGCCTTTTAAAACAATGAGATGACAGCTCTTTGTCAAAAGGGGAACTAAACTTTATCTTCCATTAGATCATGCAGTGGTTGAGCAGGTACAAGGAAAAATAAAAAAACAAAACAAACAATGAAAGCAAACAGAGAGTCTGATGATGGAGTCTTCCGTAACTGACTTGTTACCTCAGAGGGGAAGAATATTTAATTTCCCTTTTCTTGGACATTGAAGACAATTGGTTTTGGTCTGGCTTCCCTCTAAGCAGAACAATAAACAATTGCCATTTCTGCTCAAATTAGGTTGCATCACACTGTCACTCAACAGCTTGTTTTTTTCCCTTATTAGAGAACAAAACATAAGCCACCAGATGTTTATGTATAATGATAAAATGGTGAGAAAGTAAATAAGCAGAAGTGCAGAATAAATAGATTAATACCCTGCCACAGTATTTTCCAAGTCCACTCCCGTGTTATTTGGGTGTGAATGCGTGCGTTTTCAAAACATGTTTCCCTCCTTCTTACACACACACACACACACGCACATACGGTCACAGCAGGCCCCCTGCTAGCTTTCTGGCAAACAGTCATAAATCTGTCATCAGGAATGAAGCCATCGCTAGAGCTGACCCTGTCTGGATAAACAGCAATACATAACAAGGGCAGGAGAGACACACACTCACTAACCTCTGCGTTAAGAGTGTGTGTGTGTGTGTGTGTGTGTGTGTGTGTGTGTGTGTTCACAAGCACATACATCTATAGATACATTCATGTACCAAATGTAGCGTTTGCAGTAAATACAAGCAAGCAAAATAGATGACAGTCATTGCTTTGTGATATGTGCATACCCGGATTTACAACAATATCAAAGAATTATTGACATAAGTGACACACAAGAAAAAGAGAAAAAGTTTCCAGTGGTTGAGTAGGAAAGTCAACGAATGTGGAAGTGGTACTATCGCTCAACAACAGCATAACACACCCCCTGCTGGCTGCTAATATGTATTACAATCATTGATCCACATGGGATCAACAGTCGTTTAACTAACGAGACCTTTCACACCTGGGCTGAGGTCAGTGCAGTTCCTGGCTTTTATCCCCAACAGTTAACGTCTTTTACCGGGCATATTTGGCTGTAAAATCTTTTTCATTATTTGTTGGAGCTGAATGTAAACACCGGCCAAATGTGATACAAAGAGCACCAACCTAATTATTTTCATTGTGCTACTGATAACGTGCAACTTTTACATAAAGCCAGGTTTGTGATTTTATTGCCTCCTCCAGCTCCTCTCATTAACCACAAAAAGTGTCCAACATTATCTGTCTTTAAAACCAAACTACATCTACATTTTACAGAGCTGAAAGCACAGATTCATTTATGGATGTATTCAATTACATTTTTCAAGTCAATGTTAATCAACCATTTGTCAACCAAGACAAGAGTAGCTTGCAGTTTTTCAAGTCAGAATATGTGTTTAATTTTCCCAGTTTTATTTCATTTTTAAAATAAATGCTTTCCAGTGTTTTGACTGCTGGCCAGGCAAAATATTACTTTTGTGGACAGCAGTAAAAAAAAAAATCTATAATTTATTTGATGATGAAAATAATCATTGGTCGCAGCCCTAAACTTTATTTGAATGATTCAAAACTGGCTTAACATTGCTGTAATAAATAACTGTAAGTTAAGTACATTTTGACAAAATCTACCTAAATCTACCCTTTTTTTTAAAAAGTGAATACCTAATTTATTTTAAATAAGTGTGTTCAGCATATTATGTGTTACCTTTCAGACCTACCATCCACACTCTTAGACTCATATTAACAAGAAAATTACATTATTACATAATGACTTAAGTGGCAAACATGTCTCGGTTTAGCACATTTTTCATAATGTAGCTTAAACTCCTGCTGCTCAGCTCATGCTGAGCTTCACTCCTGTGTCTTTAGGTCATCTCCTGCTGGCCACTATATGCCTCTATGTGCTTCTATTTCCATTAGTAGGCTTTTAAACAAGCTGTTGCTAAGGGAATAAAAATGCACACTTTGGATATTAGATAGAGCATTTGTTGCTTTCAGATTTATTACAACAGTGGCATACTGTATGTTCTAGTCACAAGGAGGATTTAAATCTGAAGTGACCTTCCTGGCTTGAGAGAGAGGATGAATATGAGTGATAATATAAGTGCGTGGGAGAGTGAATGGGTGTGAGGGTCATTGTGTACGTCTCAGAGTGCGTCCAGTGTTTTCAGGTAACAGTTATCTATGCTGCATATTTAAGAAAGATGCAATTAAACACATAACACATAATGTACCCAACAGCCCATGTGCAAAGTGTCAAACCATGTGCTTAAAGCAGCAACATATTAAAAAACATATCTGCCTATAGATTTCAAATGCATGTGCATGTATACACACACAATCAATCACCCCCGCACACACAGAAGTGCTAAGTAGGGACATGGTGCTGTAGTCTAGCAGCAGTTTGTTTTAGGCAGCTTGTAAACAGCATGCCAGAGCTGCCACAAACCTGCTGGGGGCAACACATGGGCTATGGCACTACTGGCTCTACTACTGGCTACTGTTGCACAACAGCACACTCTACAGGACAATGAGAGAACTACAACAAAATCCAGCTTGTCAAAACAGTGACTGCAAGAATAAAAAATAGAAGATATTTTTAATTTATTCCCAAGATATGTACCACTTTAAGTGTAAATTATAAAGTAAAGTAACACTGCTATGATAATTACTATTTGTATCCTTTAGATGTGGTTTAGAATGGGAAAAGCACCTTTGCACATGTATTTATCAAAGAGTCTAGAAGAATCAGTGTTCACCTGTTTCTATTGTCGAGAGTGGTTTGAGTTTACACTTGGATTATTCATGCTTTGTTATGAATGAGGGTTTTGTGACCATGGGAAAGTGGCCTACTTATGGCCCTGCATGCCTGCATAGAATTAACCCCACATAAACCTCCCAACTGACACGTTAACACACAAATAGAAACAAAGTTCCTAATTTAAAAGAATAGAATGAGACAATAAGAGAAATCGGAAAAAGTGTATGAAGCATGCATATGTATGTCTCACCTGGTGCACAGTACATATTGGCAATGGCCTCTTTGTCACAGGACTCCTCCACGTCACTCCAGCTACAAAAGTAGGTAAGTCGAACATGACCTAAGGAGAAGGGAAGAGACGTTCAGCTCAAAGTCTAAGTGTGAAATATTCACCTCGTGCTCTGCCTCTCGTCAACCCCACACAGTCAAGTGTCACTCCGACTCGCTACTTTTCAAACTGTTTACTCACCTTTAGAGCACTTCCTTCCTCCATTCCTTTCTGCCTCTCTACATCCCTCCGCGAGCTTTTCAAGCACACAGCCCCTGCGATTACTCCTGTTTAGCGGCTACCCGTTAACGCTATCATTAGAACTAATGGTGTCATTAGGTAGCCGTGGCCATTAGCCTGGGCTAGCCAGACTGATGCACCACACTACGCCGTTGATGGGCCCTTTAGAACAATAATTACCACCAGGGAGACGAAAACAGCCACTCAGCTAATTAGACGCTTGTTGATAACGAGGTGGAGAGAGATGATTGTAGGACGACAAAAGAAGAAGTTGAGGGGCAATCTGTGACCTCCTGGTAAAACAACACTTTCGCCTTCATTTTAGTAAATAGATTACATCATGGTTGGACTGACATAGACCATCAGTCAAATACTATCTGCTCTAAGAAATAAATAAGCAGACTTCATACAAGTCATTGTTTTTTGGCTGGATAAAGCAAGCAAAATATGTGACATTCACAGCTTCAGAGGGATGTGACGTTATACTCGCTGTTAAAGAAATATGAGCAGCACCATGAGCCGATAGGATTTTAATTAGGTCTTTATTGAACTATTTATGTCTAAAGTTCTTGTGGTGAAACTCTAAATAGGCCACCTAATAGTCTGTAAGCAGAAGCCTCTGTTGAATGCAAGAATTGTCCAATTCATGTTTCTTGGAGGTTTAGAGCCATCAGAAAATTTACTTTTACTTCCCTGGTTTCTTGTTTTGGTGCATGATCTCTATTCAATAATCACTGTCGAGACACTGTTGTAAAAGGAATCTAAATGGCTTGTGATCTCCACCATGAAGTGACAGGAATGATGTGTTAGAGAGTAACAGAAAGCAGATGTTTCATGTTTGATGAGACTCACAGCTGTATCTTGCATCTCTTTCTAAACTTTCTGTAACTAAATTATATTGTAATATTTTTTTGTGATCTTACAGAACAAAACTTCATTAAATGTTTTCACAAGAATTCTACAGCATAAATGTGTTAATAATGGTGGTCTAACCTTGGTGGTCAACCAGGATGTTGTTGGGGTTTAGATCTCGACAGATGACGCCCTCTTGATGCAGAGAATCCAGTGCTGTCACCATCTCTGCGGCCCAGCATTGTACAAACTCCTCCGGGATACGAGCTTGGGATGCTGCCAGCGACAGCTCGTCCAGCTCTGCAAACAGCCGTGATACTTCTTTATCAAATTCACTGCCACCTGTATTACTAATAACTCTTGATGATTCACCATCAAGACCTAATAAACTCTCAACCACTGCACGGGCCTCAGTCCCGTTTGTGGCTGGGTTAGAGCCCGTGCTGGTGCCACTCGGGTCTGAAACCAAGTCTGTATTTACTCTTGTACTGGCCTCTTGTTTCTCATTAAGTGAGTCAGTAACTGGAAAGTCAAGGGGAAGGTCATTATTTTGGCATGCAGGATGAACCACCATTTTATCAGAGTCCTCGTGCTCAAACGCCAAGCTGCAGTCATCCCACAGTGAGTTGAAGGGAGAGGAAGACGCAACACTGGTGTCACAAGTTGCAGAGGCTGTACACAAAGATGAAAGCTCCTGCTCCAGTGGCTGCTCCTCCCCTTCCTCAGGCTGGCTGTGAAGCTGTAAAACATCAGGCTGGATGAACTTCTGAGGTGAGGCTGTGGCCTCGAGGCCCAGACACACTCCCGAAGTCTCAAAATCCTCCTGTAAAGAGTCTACAGCCCCACTGGTTGCAGGCAGGTTGACCAAAAGGTCTGGTGGGTGACCCTCATCCTCAACTACTGCCTCTTTAAACGAGATGACTGGCACCGACTCGTTTGAGCCTTTATCGCTACAGTCCAACCCCCAAAGCTCCGAGCTGTGGCCCTTGACCTCCTGAGCCAGCTCTGGAAGATCTTCAGTGACATCCGAGCCCAAGTCAGATGTAGAAAAAACGGGGACTGGCTTAAAAGAGGGGCGCTGCTCTCCTAAGTCGAGACAGGTCACCTCGCTTGCACTGTCTTTGCTGTCAATACGGAAAAACTCCATTGGTGTGTGTTTGGACTGATCCAAAGACAGAGGCACAGCAGGGGAGGGCAAAGGACTGAAGACTTCACTGTGGTCTTGTCCCTCACCACGGTATTGCTCATTGTCAAGGGTGTGGCCACTTTTGTCAGACGACTCAGTGAAAAAGCCAAGTTCCTGAGAGCTGATGGGTGAAGAGAGGCTGTCGTTGCTAAGCAGTGAGCGACTACGAGAGGAAGTGGTGGTCGTCGCAATGGGCACTTCCAGTGACAGCATTTCCTGTTCGCTCTTCTCTTCCTCCTCTTCTAGTGCATCTGGTTCTACTTTATCTTGTTCATACTCATTGCAAAGTGTCAAATAACTGTTGGTGCACTCTTCCTCAGAGGTGGCTCCGGAGTCTGACTGGGCCCCAATTTGTTCGATAAGCCTCAGAGGGAGAACACTTTTCTGAGGAGACGTGATGAGGGTCTTCCCTTCCTTCAGCAGCCCTGAAATAGAATCAGAACAAGCAACCGGCCCAGAACCAGAACTGGCTGACCCTACATCCAGCTGTGGTACAGCATGTTGTGGAGAGTGCACAGCCGCTGTGTGGCTCTTCTGGATGAAAGGGATGTCAAAGCTCTCCTCTGGGCTGGTATTACGAAGATACTTTCCAATGTGAGACCACAGCTTCCCGCCTAAAGACGAAGGAAACATGGCGTTAAAGACAAAGAAAAAAGGAGGGTGTATCTAATACAGCAGTAAGCAGAGGTATTAAGAGGCTGAATGAGGAATTAGAAACAAAGCTGTGCAATTTCTGGATAATCACAGCATATTTCCACTGCAGGAATTCTTCCAGGAATGTTTCTTGGAACTCAGCAACTTTACCTGTGTTTTAACCAGAGGGACTTTTGATCTAAATTTAGTACCTAGGCCATTGTTCCAAAAAGTTCCTGCTCCGGGGGTAGCAGCTCTGAAAGTTGCTGACCGTTCGAACAGAAGTCTCTGTTTGCTACAATTTGCGTACACCATTCATTCACACAGTAAGCAAGCACTCGGTGCCAGTAGTATCCACATAGGGATAGGGATGGTTTGCTGAATTAAACAAACAAATGTATGTAGTAGACCACTCTTAAAGCTCTTTCAATGCAGTTATGTACTACAGCCGAATCGGGGCCAAATTAGCTCACTATGAGGCCCTGTTTGGCGGGAAACATACACACACATTCCTCCAAACCATTTTAACCAGAAGGCAACCAGTACTTTTAGGCTGGCTAAGGTTAGTTTGTGATTATTTGATTCCCCACAAATTAGTATTATCACATTCATATGTAAGTAGAGATCAACCTTTCTGTCCATGAAAACACTGCATCTAAAACAAAAATTGCCTTTCTGCTGCTAGCTGACCTAAAATTCACAGTTCTTTAGATGTGGAAATGCAAAAAGGAAAAAAAAAGCCTTTTAAGTTTTGACTTTGGCTTCTGGGGCTCCTTAGTTACTGGGACTATTTGGAAAAGGGGTAATTAGTTTCCACTTAGGAATGAGTAACCAAGGCAAACAAAACTGTAACGATTGAACCCAATTAAGCTAAATGGGGTTGGGGTGTGTGTGTTTTAAGTTCCTGGTGTAATGTTAGCATTTTCACTTCTCTCTGTCTTACACACACACACACAAATAGATAGATACACAGCTGTAGTGTGAGCAATTGGAAGCCAGCATCTGTTGTGTGTGATGAGAATGGATAGGGAGTTCACAGTGATGATAATGATAGCGGGGCAGCTCGATGGCTTAGAAAGTAAAACCATCCACATGTTGTTTTGTCCAATGTCACTTAGGTCACTGCCTCCCTCCGTCTGCCTGTCTTTCCTCACTCAACCCATCAGCTGCTAACAGCATACTATAGAAGCATAAGAAGCAACCCCGGATTTTCTGAATCACAGAGCTGGGATGTAACCGTGGTGAAACTTTGTCCTTTTCTGGCGTTTGATTAGCTTTATTAGATCATGTAGAACAGCCCCATATGATATTCAATACTGTCCACTAATATTAGCGCAGGGTGGTTATAGAGTGCGCCAGATTGAATAGGTTACAGGGCATTAAAAAATATGGCTGTATTTCATTGTACGCACTCACCCACGCACATGAGCTACACACACATCCTAGAGTGAGTGGGATGTAAGGAGGCCCAGGTGTTGGCATAGCTAATGAAGCATGGCGCCACCTGGTATTCAGAATAATGACCTGTGACACACACCCATCTCTATCAAACATCTGTCTGGAACAAGGGCAGAGAGAGAGGGGTGGGAGATGAGAGGAAGAGGGATCAGGCGAAGGAAGGGAGAAGGCAGTTGGAAGTAAAGGAGACAAAAGAAGGAAGATACAAATGATGAGTATGAGATGTGTGTGTGTGTGTGTGTGTGTGTGTCTTACCTTCCGCATACTGCAGCAAAAGAAAAACAGTGTCTTCAGAAACGATGAACTTCCTCAGCTGCACCATGTGGGGTACAGAGTGAGGCATGATTGTTCTCTTAGTCCGCCCACAGTCACTGCTCTTCCTCAGACCCTGCAAAAAGAAAGAGGAGGAGGAGGAGGAGGATTAGAATTAAAGGTGAAATAAGCAAGCAAAAAAGAACTTGCATTTAAGGACGTGAGGAGAAAAGAAAAATGAACCCAAATTAAAAGGGCATAAGAGGAGGAAAAGGAAGGTGAGGCTTTTAGTTTGTGTAGAATAAGTGGAAAAAATAAAAAAAATAAACGAGGAAGGCAGTGTGGCAAAGGAGAAACCTCCCATTAAAGAGGTGCCAGCTATGCCCCATGGCAACCCAAAGTCACTGGATTCATCAAGCCACATACAGCGCGTGACTTTAACAGAGTCACACAAATCTATCAGCGCTACACGTAAAGTTCACATTGCTGCGAGTGTGTGTAGGTATGCGTGTGTGTGTGTGTAGGTATGCGTGTGTGTGTGTGTAGTCATCTGTTCCTGTGCTGTGCGATGGCATCTGGCACACGTCTCACACCTGAGAGCAGAGGAGCTGACAGGGACAGGCCCATTAGAATCAATTACACCGGTCACACACAGGGGCTTCTGGCACACTTCACACTTACACTTACAGTCAGGACAACGAGGATGCGGGGAGCGCACACACACACACACACACACACACACACACACATTACACTTACTTTCAGGATGAACGTCTCTTGTGTTCTCTTGTCCATGACCAAAAGAACCTGTGATGGAAGAGTGCCATTAATTGCCAGGTATGAACAGACATACACAGTCTAAGATGATGTAGTGGTTATGTCCTCCAAAGCAGTGTTTTTCAATGACTGGGTCAGGGCACACATGAGGGTCACTGCAAGATAAATGTAGATCCCTAAATTATACCAGAAAAATTGGCAATAACACATTGGCTCCTGCTGTGTTGACCAAACCAAGTCCCAGTCACCTAACAATGACTAAAAGGAATCTATTAGATGTCAGTAGTAGGACTGCAACTAAGAAGTATTTTCATATTATTATTTTTAAAAAGCAATATTACCTAAAAATAAAAACAAAGAACAGTGTAAAAGTGTATAAAAACACATTTTTATAAACACTCGTATATAGAGATGACTCAGTTGGTTCATTAATCAGTTAGTTGATTGACAGCAATTTTTGATAATCTCATCATTAGTAGTAATTTATCAATCTATTTTCTCTAATAAGATTTTCAGCTTTTCCCTTTTGTAACATGACTGTAAATTGAGAATCATTAGAATTTGGAAGCATTGGTTTAAACAATCAATCTGAAAAAATCACCATGACCATTACGATGACCATTTTTCACTATTTTTGGTCATTTCACAGACTTCACAATAGGAAAAATAGCTGACAGATTAATCATTATTGAAAATAATCTTTAGTTGCTGCCCCAAAATGGACATATAAGCACTCTGCCAGCCCAATGGCTGGTCATTCCCATTAATGTTCATACATCACAGGCACAAATTGCTATCTGGTAGAGCTACATTTTTTAATTTTGGAGCATGTTTTCTTTGGTAAATGTCACTACTCAGCCACACAATGTTTCATAGCAGACAGTCATTTCTATCAGTGGCTTCTCTAAATCCCTACTCATCTCTAAGCTGCTACCATCTCTCTTTTCACTTTCCTTCACTTTCTGGCTCCGGCTCTTCCTAATATCTTTATTTTTTCCCTCTTTTTCTGACATCTCCATTGCTCTTCTGCTCCCTCACCGTCTCAGGGGAGAGCTTGAGCATATGTGTGTTAGGCGGTCTGTGTTTATGCGTGGTGGAGTGCGTGCGTATGTTTTCTGGGTGCATTCTCTCCATGTGACCCTGGCGGGGACCAAACAGGTGCAGGCTAAATGGATATGAATGGAGCTGTGAGTAAACAGAGTGGCAGTGCTAGCCAGGGCGCTAATATAATTAAGACACAAACATCAGGGAAGGGGGGAGGTGGAGAAGAGGGGCAGAGGGAGGGGGGCAGTAGGGTGAGGAGCTCTCTCCATCTGTCCCCTCTGTCCCCATTAAAAGTGAAAGGAGGAAGGAGGAGGAGGAGAAAGAGGAGAGGAATGCCAGGGCCATTTCAGGATAGAGTAGGTGCCGCTTATGGTGTTTTTTTTGCTGTGTGTCTGATTTGTTTCTGACATATCGTGGATTTTGCGTGCACCTCTGTAGAGTAACACATGTTGGTATTGTGTCAACATTTTCCTTGGGGTTTTGTGTGTGTGGAGGACGAGCATCATTGATTCAATGTTGTGTGCCGCTCTCTGAGCTGCTTGCCAAGTCATTTCATGGCTGAGTGGTGAAGTTGCTTCGCGGGCAGCTGGTTGAGAGGACCAGCAACCTAAACTGACCTTGTGGTAGTCATAACTGACGCTAAACATACACACACTCAGTCCTTACCATAGCATCCAGTAAATCTATTACATTTTATTGCCTCAGATAAAGAAAGGACAGAAGGAGAAATTTGAAGATGCATACTCCATTTGCCTTGGCTGGGGCAATTAATAAATAAACGAGTGTCTGCCCGACCTGAGTGTGATTATTTTGTTAGGACCACGATAATTGTTTCATTTTCACCCTAAAAATGCTCCTCTACCATATTTACTATAATATTCAAGGAGAGTCTGTTTGTGTCTTTTACTCACTCTCGCCATATAAAAAAAGGCACATTATTGATTGTGATTATAAATGAAACAATATTAGAGTAAATCAAAATGTGGTTGCAAGTTGCAACAGTAAACTGACCTTATCTATGACGCCCAACACCCTGTAAGCTCTCAGCTCCTCGAATGGACTCTGCTGGCCTCCTCTGCTGGTGGACGGGCAGCACTGTGCCCCCAAAGCCTTGGATAAAAAGCACATTTCGTAGTGATGATTTAATGATGTATACATTTATTATTAGAATACGGTTACATTTATTAGGTATCGTGACCTCTTGCAACATGTGACCCAAGTAATAAGTAAAAAAAGAGTCAAAGTTGGTGTCAGTCAAAAAGATTCAGCTGTAATTCCATCATTTTTGACAATGTGAATTCTAAAAATATAGGTTTAACATTTTTTACCACAGACTTGCTGTGATGTTTTCATCTGTAACAAACCTGAAAGCACTCTGATACACTGCTTCAAGTGGTTTAAGGACCAGGGTGGATGCATCCATATGAGGCAAATTAGCATAATATAACACCGACAGCATACGGGCCAATTTCCCTCCCACTCACCACTGTCTGTGTTGACCCTTGACCCATGTTGCTTCTCAGATGCTGACTGGATATCTGTTCTGCACGCATCAGATACTCTGCAGTCTTCTTCTTCACTGCCTCTCGCCGCGTGGGACTGGGCTCACCTGAAAAGTGAGATCCATAATTATTCTTTATGAAGCAGTTTTTATAAGTGCAGTGTTCAAAGTTTCTGTACCACCATTTTATTTACTGACAAAACAGCATGTTAGAACAGTGACAAGCTAATAAAGCACTAAGTAAAAGTGGTTGTGAGAAGTAGAAGTGGGTTTTGTTTTGGCACCTCCACAATAAGGTGCAAGGTCAGAGTCATTGGTCACTCCCTACATCTCTGCCGCCACCCACCTGCTAGTGTGACCAATGGAGGGCAGATTATTAGGAATGATGGTGTGCATAAATGTGCATTCCATTTATTTTTTACCCTCATATTTTCTCTATTAGCAAATCTTACTGCTCCTCCCCCAGACTACATATGGCCATGAAACGTTTCTCCACTTTGTACAGACTATGAAGGATTAGTTATAAATATGCCCAAATTTCTCACTGACTGCCGAGTTTGATTTCACATTTGCAAATATCTAAATAAACCTGAGTTTCAGTTTCACACTTCTCTCCTTTGGTCTCTCACTCAATCTCCTGTTTCTGGTTTAGACACATTCTTCATTAAAGGTGTATCTCCTGTAAAATGCTGAGCTAACCAGGGAATCAGATTACTTTTGCAGTTGAATTAACTTACTGATTTAACCGTAAATTAAAAACCTTTCCTCAAGCTCTGGTCATCAATAAAAGAAATGAAGTTGTGTAAATGCTGCACATGTACAGTGAAGTAATTTTTTTTTAAACGCAGCACAAAGATATGAAAATATCTTTGTATATGATTTTGTCAAAACTAAATCTGCCCTTGAATAACTGTCCCTTCTTTCTTTCACTTCGGGTAACCAGAGGAAAGAATGTATCAATTGGCTGCCTGACCTCACAGAAAAGTGACCCAGCTCTCTCCCAAACTGACCTTGCACTCCTTGCAGCAGCAGGTCCACTCCGCTGCGATAGCAGGAGAAAGCTGCCTGGAAGTCCTGCTCTTTCTCCTTCTGTACAGCCAAACAGATGAGCTCACTGGCTCTGTCTAGGTAGTCTGACTTCACGTCCTTAGAGTTGCCACTACCGCCTTTCTTCAGACTACCGGGAAAGAGTGACGTTCGGCCTGGCCAGCTGACCTCTGGGTTAGGGGCTGAGGAGGCAGGGAGTGGGGCAGGAGATGGGCTGCGGCGATCGTGCAGGGAGGGCAAGCGAGGGCTGCAGCTGCTGCTAATGTTGGTGGCTCCCCCCTGTGGCTGGTTTGGGGAGGTGCGACCTGAGGCCATGCCATCATCCAGCCCAGCCAAAGAGTCTGTATCCACAGCCAAGGAGGTCAGGTCGCTGTCACTGGAAGGGCCTGGGACGAAAACAATGCTAGGGTTAATATAGATAAAGTATTAGATAAAGACACAAAACTAAAATCTAAATTAGCTCTAATGTAGGTGGGTGCTATTTTGATGCTTAAATCAACTTTACCTCCATACTCAGATGTGATAGTCAAATCATCTGCACCACTGATGTCTCTTTGAACTGAAAAAACATGTGCACACATCTGTGAGCAAGTGTGAACTAACAGTCATTGTAAATCATGAGGAAGAATGATTGTGAGGAAGAGTTATCGTGTGTAACCCTACCGTCAGAGCTGCAGTCTGATAAACTGTCTGCCAAGAAGTCAGAAAAGGGTTCAGCTGGTCCAATGAGCTCCGAGCCGTCGTGGACCTCACCTCCCTTGAAAAGAATTAGAAACACTGCAGTTTGTCGTCTCTGAGGGAGTATGTTTGTGTTCCTGCGTGTGTGTGTGTGTTGGGGTACCTTGAAGAAATCTTGGATGTGCTGACTGCTATAGAGAGTAGGGATATTAGCGGAGAACTGTAACAGATCCTCAGAGCACTGCCTTCTTTCCTCGATTACTGAGTCGTCAAAACGGCCTGCACATGCATACATGGATAGAAAGACACACACGCACACATATAGCCTTTAAGTGATCATGGCAAGAAGGAGTAATGGTTACTGACTGAGTCATAACACTAAGCTGCCTCAAGGGGGCAGAGTTCTCACTAAGGTCCAGCATTTATTATCTTGTACTACAGCAAAGTCACTACAGCAGTTTTTCTGTGGTCACTTTAGAGAAGATCGCTAACACTAACAACCACATGTTAAGGTAACAGAGGACCAAAACAATCAAAGAGGAAAAGGTGGATTTACACATGTAGGTCTAATGCAAGCATTAAAAAAAAAGGACTAGCATTTGGTCTCTTTACCTTTATCAGGACTTAAATTAAATGTTTGACAGAGGGGAATCAAGCGGATTAGTTCCTTACCGAAGACTTTGGCCCTCGCAAAGGGAGGAAACAGCTCTGACTGGCTACATACATTCTTGTGCAGCTGCCAGAGGTTTTGATGAAGTTTTCGGAAATCACTGTATCTCTTCCAGACTGTTATCTACAGAGAGAGAGAGAGAGAGAGGGTGGATGAAGAGATACATTTTTGCCTTTAAAAATGTGTGGAGCTTCAAGAAATGGATCATATAAAGTTTGTTCACCACTGCTTGGGTTCATTATGTCTTGTTAAAGTCAATAAAATATTTACAACTTTACAGAACTCCATAGCCTGAAAGACAGAGACTGAGTCAAACTCATAGGACGAGTGAAATTCCTCATCTCAAGCTATTTTGTGCAATGAAACAGCAGCCAAACCATTCATACACAAACTGGATGCAGTCATTCCTCCCTCACTCAGTGGGATAAAGCAAAACAAAATGGCCTAATGTTGAGATGAAAGTCCTGTTTGCTAAAATCTTGGCCAGTCTGCTGCTGTGAGAAACACCACTCCCAAACAGGAGCACTGCTCAATAATGGAGGTTTGTGTGTTGACGGGCAAACCTCTTTCACTGTCTCTTAGAAACCCATGCAGTAATTGACATCATGCCTGCTGCATTAGCACTGGTTCCAGGCTTGACTGCATTCCTCAGCGTGTGTCAAATGTAAGACAACATGCATAGGCGTTTTTACGGCATTCTCATAGATACATTGTGTGAGAGGGGAATAGTCAAATGTTTGGAAAAACTTGTTGTTTTGTTAGTTGTTTTGAGCACAGATGTGAGAGGCTGTGGACAATGCAGGCGTAATGCAGAAGCCTAATTCTTGGCTTTTTAAATGAATTATTTCCCCCTTGAAATGTCTGGCCAGAAAAATGAAGCTTTGCTTTCTAATATTGTGTAAGGAGATTAATAAGAAACGTAGAGCCACACAGAACTCACACAGCCTCTGACCACAGATTTACTTGTGTAACTTTCAATTTGTTGTTGCTGAGATAACCAATATCTTATATTATTTACAAAGTAGCAGCATTATATACCCAGTAGCAGTCCTTATCTTCCAACCCTGCAGGGAAAATGTCCTTCAAACTCTCGCCTTTCAAGGAATTCATTCGTCTGCCATTGCTTTGCACACTCACAAAGTCACAATATAAAAATAATGGCTCTTACCTCTTGGACATCCTCTGGGTTCTTCCTGGAGATTATCTGTGTGTGGAAGCGGGAGAAGAGAACTCAAGGCTTTAGAGTCTCCATGTGAGCGATTTCTATCTACAAAGATGTCAGAGCTGGTCTCTTGTGAGAGTGGCACAAGCATGAGCAGGCACACAGCCCTGAGCGTGACAATGAGTGCATTATACGGCGAATGACGGAGGTCTTGAGAGTAAGAACGAGACATCACCAACATTCATAACAAGCAGGATGACAGGCGGGCAGAGACAAAGAAACTCAGCCTGTTCTTGTCCTAACTGATCCAACTGGGAGTCTACCCATGTATTTGTAAAATCCCAGCACATACTGGATTCACTTCATCATCAAAGGACTCACTTCCCTATACCAGCTTGATCTGTGAGTTGCTGCATATTATTAATGGGGACAGGGAGCCATGCTCACAAATGAAAGCAAATGAGAGTATGACAGCACCTCAGTCTGTGAGACAGACACACGATGTTTAAGCTATTGTCATGTGACTTCTTAACTTGCTTTGACATTTTGCAATCCCAGCTTCAATAGACTTGACTATCAATAGTTGGGACAATAATTAATAAATAAAAAAACCGTTACATCAAAGCACATCTCTGGGGAACTAGACTCAAAATAGAATGCCAATATGAATCAGCTTTCTAGTTACTGGACAGATTTAAGATGCAGCTCCTTAAGGCTCGTTGTAACGCTGCATAGACCACTAACTAAGCTCCATAGTTAGCTATCTAGCTGTTAACACTGGTCAACAAAGCGTTCAGGGCTGGCTAATATGGCTAATGTAAGTTAGCTACTAGATAATTCCCTATTGGAACAAAAAAAAACAAACAAACATATTTTAAAATATAGCGTTACGCAAGTCTGAGTGTGTCTGTCAGCTGCATATTTGGTGTTCACAAAAGCTGTTACCATTGCCAGCCAATGCTCAAGAGGTTAAAGTAACGTTACTTGTGTTTGCATCATATTAGCTTGGTTAGCACAGCTGAAGCTACACAGCTAGCTAGCTAACAACACACAGCATTAGCCTTGATGTCAGAGTCCACTTACCCTTGCGGTGACTTTGTACACAGTATAGCCTTTCTGGTGCTTTTTAGGATCTGTGACAGTATAAAAACGAGCAAGTTCTCCTCTGTCCCGCTGCGATATCATTCTGATAGTGACAACATTGCCAAAGCTACCAGCCGGCTAGCCGCTCACATTCATCCCCTGACAGCACAGTGACAGGCAGGCAAATAAGTTAGAGCTCCCTCTTGAGGAAACTACCTGCTACTGCCACTTGCATCCACTTTTTCTAGATTGTAATAACACCAGTTTTCTATATTATTTGGGATATATTTTTTTTTATTGAGTGATTATTACATTATTGCCTCTTTTATATAACTCATAAACATATAAAATAAGCAATTATTGCTAACAGTGCATATAATGAACATAACACAAACTGAGAAAAGTGCATATGTGTAAGTGCTATATATTCTAATACATAATCATAACATGAATAGACTGAATGAGAAATATATGAAATAAAGTAGAGTTGGAATAATGTACGTATTACTGTACGTACGTTTACTAATAAAGTAAGTGCATTGGTATTAAGTACATATTTGATCATATATGGTGAAATAAAACTACTATAAAACTGTATAAATGGAGAATGAAGTTTACTGACATGTCTCCAGGCACATATAGCCAAAGCATTTTGTGCTTTTATAAAACAGAGATTAAAGTAAGAAAGGAATTTACATCTAAATATCATAATCAATATGAAAGTTGCTGAATAATATGACACCCGATTTGTGATTATCAATTAATAGCAAAGAGAAAAAGATATGCTATATGAATATGGTATACAAACAATAGAGATTCAACTGTGCCTCCCTTTATCAAGATTGCACTGGTTTTGATCCATTGTTCACACAGCCACGTTACATTATTGCAATCCAGAGGAGGAAAAGCATGATTCCAGCTGGGTTCACAATCCAAGAAGTGCAGAGTCGGCTTGACGCATTGACATTCTTACAAGTGACAGTCGGTGTCTTCAACATCTCCCTGATTATGCCATTTTCATTAACTGAGTATTTGTTCTGTGAAAAAGAAAAGATTATATGATATAAAAATTACTCCTTTTTATAATATTGCAAAAAACAAGCAATATCAAAAATTGCATTGCTGTCAGTGACTTAGTAACTTAAATACCACATTTGTATAGGAAGATGGGTAAAGACTTTGTCCATAATCAATAAATACATACAACTCTCTAAACTGTATGAGACACAAATTAGTGACACATGCAGATCAGTCCAAAGTTAATGATAGAAAATAAACTGCATGCATCATTAAAATGATAAAGAAATAGACAAAATAATGCTTTACATAATCACACAGGAACAGAACAGAATAAATCGGAACAAGAGGAAGCATTGAGAGGACTTCAAAAGACCCCCAACAACTTATGAACAATGACCTGTATTAGACCAGTTGCTAATACAGGAGGTAATTTAAGTTAAATAGTTGAAACACAGTAAGTCTAAAGTTGGAAGGGAAAGCACCAGTTGACAGAAATATTTAAACTTTTGGGGGTATAGCTGTGACAGACAGAGGAATCCACAATATTTAAAAAAATAAAATTCATCCAAAATATATGAATTTCTCAATTAGATAGGAGGTAGAAAATAAAAGACACAATCAAATAAACTTACATTGTCATCAGTGATTAACTGAATTTGTGGTAAAGTCTTTAACAAACTCTCATACTCCACAATTTCATCAGGGTCTAAAGTTGTGGTCTCCTCAGACATCCTGTTAGAAATGAGAAAATAGCTGTTTCAAAAGATACATCAGCATGAAAGAAATGTGTGTATGTACCACATCGGGTCTTACTGGTAGCTTGCATCGATGAACGGATGCGTTGTATCTGGGTGGCTGATGCATGTGTCGATATCGATTGCAGGATAGTAGAGTATGAAGGCCAGGCACATCTCATCAGTAGTTGCCAACCCCATCTGAAGGAGGAAAACGTGAAACACGGCAGCTATTAAAGACATGAGATTCTCTTTATACATGCAGAGTGTATGATACTATGGGAATATGCTCTAATATTGTTGTATTATGAGTTGTATTCTATTGACCAGTAGTTGTATGTTTCTCTTAAGACACTAAATGATAGTGTTCATGTTAATGTGCCTACCTCCATTAGGTTTATAGTTCAAATTGTGTGTTTTGTTATATGTGTTTTAACGTTTGTGTGTATGTTGTTTGGAATAATGATATATTGCTGCTGTATATATGGCTCCCTTGAAAAAGAGATTTTATACATTCAGTGGGACATAATAATAAAAAAAATAAAAGATTCCACATAGATTGACCAATACATATTACATCATGTTTCATCAAAAGTCTTCCTATTACTTGTGTTTCCTCTTTATGTTTTTATGGGACAGCACTGATTTCATTTGGAGCCCATTTTATGTGTCATACAGTATTTACCAACCTTAGTGACTTTGCTGCGACTGGTAGTGCTGTAGGTGCACTCCACTGCAATCTCATCACCCTGTAATTGGAGACAAGTAATGTGGCATCAAAAGAGTTTTTTAACTTACTAAAAAAACTGACTATTATGGGCATAACATATGAACATGGGACAATAGGGACTTACTGGCTTAATGGTCTTGATGTTTCCCAAACTGTAGCTCTGCTGCAACTCAAAGTTGTAATTTTCATCCAAGCCCAAGAAGTCGATCTGCTTTCCATTTCTACGAGGACAGAGAGGAAATATAAAATAAGAGTAACACTATGTTTACAAGGAAACAATATAACAATCACTCCTGTCTTTCTTACCTGTAGTGACCAACTCTGACTTTCCTTCCAGCCAAATGAGTGTGCATCAGCACAGCAAACACTTCAAGTTCAGGAAAAGGATTCACAAGCTAGGAGTGAAAGTAAAGACTATCAGGGACACAGTCACAAACATTCTCCATTAACCACTGCTGCAGTTTGAAATCCATACTGAACCACTACAGACCTTATAAAACATAGTGGTATTACACACGCCGTAGGTGCGGAATTGAGGGGCTTTTGGAGGGATGTTGTAATCCAAATTGCCAAATTGCAGCACACCTGTGGTCATGATGCCTACATCATGCTGTCGGAGTTGGTCTGCATAGTACAGTCTCAGTCCTGAGCTGTCTGTCCTACCTAGACAGAGCGAGACAGACGTTTAAAAATGTTGCACAGAATAAAGAAAAGGAGGCATATGCTCCAGCACTTTGTTTATGCAGTATTTAACACTGTTTTGTATGAGTGTATAGTACTGTGTGTTATTGTCCAGAAAGCAGCCAAAGCATGACTTCTTCTTCAAAGCAACTTCTTTTAAAGAGAAATTCCACCAATTTTACATATTAAAGTGAATTTACTGATCCTAGGTCCATAATGTATTTTGTGACCTTTAAGCAAGCTCTGTCAAATCTGGGAAAATTACCCTAGTGTTACAAACTGTGTATGGCGCTCACAATAATTGTCCATTTACCTGAATGGTTGTTTGGATTATTGTAGTGGATTTCCAGCCTGTAGAACCTATCATTGTCATCACCTCCGAAAGGAATACCCGCATTTTCTGGAAGCTCAAATGCCTGAGGTTTCAGAGATAAACTGTAGGTCAACTTGCACAAGCACAACACTGACATGGATATACACAGAAAAAGACAGTCAACAAAATGAAATAAATAATACATAGATGGACACTTAATTCTCTCTCACCCCTCCTCCTATTCCCCATACAGCCACCACCCCGAAGCAGGAATCCCCTATGTTGCCCATGTAGCACTGATTGTCGTATGGTTCCGTCACATAGGAGGGGCAGCGGTACAGCAGGATGTGATGAACGATGTCGAGGTTCTCAATCGCTGGTTCAATCTGAGGTAAAGTAAGGAGAGGTTTGGTACAGAAGGTTTCAAGAACAATGAATGAAAAACAAATAAATATGAAAATCATGTGTGTGTTATTATGTTAATGCATTTTAAACCCTGAACCCAAAACCTGACAGTAGCATATGGGATGTAAATAAAACATTTGATGTAAGGAATGACATTATATAGCTGATTTTGGTAAAGTGGCTGAAGAGTGATGATGGTAATGTGAAGAAAGGATGATTACCCGATATACATGACGTTTTGTACTGGCTGGAAACTTCATGACCTTGCAGTGGTAGTAGGTGTTTTTGGAAGGGACAGTGATCTGTAAAAAAATATAAAATAATAATAATAATAATAATAATAATAATAATAATAATAATAATAAATAAATTAAATAAATAAATAAATGTAACAAT